GTCCCTATACCCCCATGCATATGGGATATATTGAGCATGGTGATCAGATCATGATATGAATAAACGTAACAGTTTAAATAATGTACCAGTAAGGCCTTCTCGTGGACCACCCTGAGAATTTCAGGGGGGGGGGGGCTGAAGCCCCTCAAGCCCTCCCCCTCCAGCTACATGCCTGTCCCACTGGGTTAAACTCATGTGCTGGCAGGACTGCTAACCAAAAGGTTGGCAGTTTGAATCAAGGGAGCGGGGTGAGTTCCCATCTGTCAGCTCCAGCTTCCCATTTATTTATGTATTGTATCAGAAGCAAACCAAGGGTATAGTGGTAATGTATTTCTTTTAAAAAAACACAAAGTTTAAATACTTGGTATTATATTAAATGTTGTTTGACCAATAGCTGACCACTTGGAGTGCCTCTGGTGTTGTTATAAGAAGGTCCTCCATTGCGCATTGTAGTAGGTAGTCTGTGGTTTGTAACAGGTGGTCTGTGGCATGTCGTGGACTCTACTTTGTGGCCCCATTTCTTGAGGTTGGCTCTGCATCTTGTGGTGCAGAGGAGAGAGGTGGGAGGTGAAAAGCCTCCCACAGGATCAGGCCTGTAGCCAGGATTTGGATTGGGGGGGGACGGGGCTGAGTTTGATTGGGGGAGGGGCTGAGGCTAGCATACCTTTTGTATCGTTACCCCAATACCCCCATGCATATGGGATATATTGAGCATGGTGATCAGATCATGATATGAATAAACATAACAGTTTAATGGTTTGTTGTAGTTTTTTTCGGGCTGTATGGCCATGGTCTAGCGGCATTATTTAACAGCTTAAATAATGTACCAGTAAGGCCTTCTCACGGACCACCCTGAGAATTTCGGGGGGGGGGCTTGAGGGGCTTCAGCTCCCCCCCACCCCGAAATTCTCAGGGTGGTCCTACATGCCTGCACCCACATGCCTGCACAAGATGGTAACACATCTGGGTATCCCCTGGGCAACGTCCTTGCAGACGGCCAATCCTCTTGCAGTTTCTCAAGTCGCTCCTGACACACACACACACAGAGACACACAAAGGATGAATGCAGCCTTTCCCGTCTGCAGAGGGCTCCGAGTTGGGTCGCGTGGCGCGAGGGAGGCAAAATGATGGATGGCGAAATCCTCCTGCTGTAAATAAATGTAATCCTGGAGCCGAGGAGGAAAAGGAAGAGGAGGAGGAGGAGGAGGAAAGGGGGGGGGGCTGCCTCTTCCCTGCCCATAGAAGAGAGAGAGAGAGAGGTGGGGAAAGGGGGGGGCGAGCCCTGCGCCTCTTCCTCCTCCCGCTCCCTCCCCGCGTGCCCGGGACTCCCCACTTGGAAACTCTGCCAAGTTCTCTCGCTCTGCAAAGACTGGAGGGGAAGGCGCTCCCTTTCCCTCAAAGCAACTTCAACTGATCCACTTTCCTTCCTTCCTCTCTTTCTCTCTGTCTTCCTTCCTTTGCTTCTTCCTCCCCTGAGGAAGAGGAGGAGGGGACGGGTGCCCTTAACCCCGAATGGGGACCGACACGCCGAAAGAAGGGGGCGGGGCTGGGAAGGGGGCCCGTGGCCGGGCTGGGCAGCAGGACGGGCCTCCCCGCTCCCGTGGGTGAAGAGGGAAGAGGCTGTCCCGAGGCGGCGCTTGGGGAGGAGACAGGGCGGGGAGGGGGCGTTCCTCCTCCGGCCCCAAACATTCAAATCGCCCCCTCGCTTTTCTTGTAGCGGAAGGTCCCGCTGCTGCCCGCCTCCAGGGATGATGCAGACGGCGCGGGAGTGGACCCAGAAACCCACACGCACCCGGGGAGAGGGCGGATGAGCTCCCTCTGCCAGCTCCAGCTCCTCATGCGGGGGCATGAGAGAAGCCTCCCACAAGGATGGTATAACATCAAAACATCCGGGCGTCCCCTGGGAAACGTCATTGCAGACGGCCAATTCTCTCACACACCTGAAGCGACTTGCAGTTTCTCAAGTCGCTCCTGACACAGAACATAAATATCCGGAGAAGTGGTGCTTCTAAGTCCACGCGCGCCACCCCGAGTCTCCAGTGGGAGGACGGAGCGAAGCAAAGGGTCAACACGGGGGCAAAGGGGGTGCTTAGGCGTTCCCCTCGCCATCCGCCTGGAAGTTGGCTTTCTCCACCTCGCGTGGGCTCCCCTCCCACTGAAAAGAGCCTTGGGGTGGACCCCCAGGAACCTCCCCTTCCCCCAATTATTTATTTTTATTTATGTATAGGCCCCTGGTGGCGCAGCGGGTTAAACCACTGAGCTGCTGAACTTGCTGTTTGAATCCAGAGAGTGAGCTCCTACTGTTAGCCCCAGTTTCTGCCAATCTAGCAGTTCTAAAGCATGCAAATGACAGTAGCTCAATAGGTACCGCTTCGGCGGGAAGGTAATGACACTCCATGCAATCATGTTGGACACGTGACCTAGGGGGCGTCTATGAACAACACCGGCTCTTGCTGACAGGACTGCTGCGGTTCGAATCCGGGGAGCAGGGTGAGCTCCCTCTGTCAGCTCCAGCTTCTCATCTGAACACATAAGAGAAGCCTCCCACTGGATGGTCAAACATCCAGGCGTTCCCTGGGGAACGTCCTTGCAGACGGCCAATTCTCTCACACCAGGAGCCGCTTGCCAAGACCCTCTTCCGTCTGGAGGGCCCCAAAGTCAGGCCCGAGTTGCTGGCCAAGGGCGGGAAGCGCAGCTCAAAGGGGAAGGAAGTGGCTGCAGGCAGGCCCTTGGCTTTTAAAAAGAGCGGGGAAGTGTCCCCTCCCCCTCGGAAAGCCAGCCTTTTCCTTTCCTCCGGCGCCAAACGTGAGGCTGTAAAGGTCAAGGGGCGGGAGGGGGGAGGGCGGAAGCCGAGCGGGCGCCTCCAGACCTGCGGCCAAACCCCTCCCCCCCCCTTCCCTTCTTAATGCCTTCGGGGATTAGCCGGCTGGTTGCGTGTCTGTGCGAGCAAACGTGTGAGTGTCTTCCAGCCCGAAAGAACTACCCCCCTCCTCCCCAACCCGGCCAGGAAAGCCTCCCTCCCTCAATCTTCACAGCGCCTTCCTTCCGACTGCTTCCCGGAGCCGGCTGCACCTGTCGGGACGCCTCCTGCCCGCCCCCGGGGAGAGAAAGAGACACATACACAACAAACACACACACACACAGCACAACGCCGGAGCCTCGAGTCCCTCACGCCGAGATCTACACACACACACGCACACCTCCCCCAAGCCTTTCTACTTTGGGAAAGATTGGAGCGAGGGAGGGAAGGGAGGAGAAGAGGCAGATGGAGGGGAAGGAACCGTGGACCCGGAGCCAAAGAGGAGCGCCAACGGGCTTCCGGAATGGGAAGCGAGGAGAGTCTTCCAGCTCTCCGAGGATTCCCTCTTTCACGCTCCAACTATCTCTCGATAGGTAGGCATGGCTTAAACCGACAGGTCGAAGGTTAGAATTCGGGGAGAGAGCGGATGAGCTCCCTCTGTCAGCTCCAGCTCCCCATGCCGGGGACATGAGAGAAGCCTCCCACAAGGATGGTAAAACATCCCCTGGGCAATATCCTTGCAGACGGCCAATTCAATTTCTCAAGTCACTCCTGACACGAAAAAATAGAGAGAGCTGATACATGCATACAGAACAGGCAGGGGCGAACTTGGGCCCTCCAGGTGTTTTGGACTCCAACTCCCACAATCTCCAACAGCCTCAAACCCCTTCCTGTCAGAGGCCAGCGATAATAGAGGAGAAGCAGCACTGGACTCCCAACTCCCACAATCCCCAACAAACTCAAACCCCTTCCTGTTTAGGATTCCAATTCCCACAATCCCCAACAAACTCAAACTCCTTCCTGTTTTGGACTCCAACTCCACAATCCCCAACAACCTCAGGCCTCTTCCTGAGAAAAGAAGAGGGTCTGAGGTGTTTTGGACTGCAACTCCCACAATCCCCAACAGCCTCAGACACCTTCCTGTTTTGGACTCCAACTCCCACAATCCCCAACAACCTCAGGTCCCTTCCTTTTCCTGAGGGAGAAAAGGAAGGGGCCTGTGTCTGTTGGGGATTGTGGGAGTTGGAGTCCAAAACACCTGGAGGGCCCAAGTTCGCTTAAGCGGCTGAGGGAGAAAAGGAAGGGACCTGTGGCTGTGAGGGATGATGGGAGTTCGAGCCCAAAACACCTGGAGATCCCAAGTTCGACCATGCTTGATATATATACAGAGAGTTGGAGAGAAATATATTTTCACCTCCCCAGGTCTCTCTCTCTTTCTCTCCCGAGTATTTATATATATTCTCGGGAGGCTACTTCCCACTCAAGCGCAGGAAGTCCGGCCGTCTCTTTGCCTCAGGGTTTCGTATCAATACATCCGTGTATCTAGATCTATATATCTACGCAGAGCTCCCAAGGCTTGACCTGCCAAGGAAAAGGTCCGCGGCGCAGTCCCTCCGGGCAAACAGGCGCAGGAAAGGCTGGGAAAGGGAGGCAAGCCCCCGACTCCCTTTCCTTCCTTCCTTCCTTCCTCCCCGGGCTTGGAAATGTCGCGCACAGAAGGCACACAAATGCACCAAGACAGGCATACAAAAGAAAGAACTCCCCAACTGCTGCACAAGCCGCCCTGGATAGAAAGGGAGATCTAGATCCAGCCCAATCCTGCCCGGCATCGATCCTTCTTTCCCTTCCTTTCCCTTCCCTTCCCTTTTCCTTCCTTCTCTGACTCCGACCACCCGGAGCTGCCACGGAAGCCGTTGCTTGCCCTTTAAAGAGCCCCCAAAACTCTCTCCTTCCCCGGCCAGCCGCCCATCAATCAATCAGGCAGGACGCCCCGGTGACAATTGGTTCCTTCCCATGAAATTCCCCCGCGGAGGGAGACTTTTGTGCGTGTGACACACAAATAAGCCAAGCCACACCAACCCTGGGAGCGAGGGAGCCTTGCCGGCAGCCCGCTCCCGCCTTGGCCGCCTGCATAGGGAAAGGCGCCCTTTTTTCATATCGAAACCACGCGGAAATATGTACATTTTTGATTCCTACTTACGCTTTCAGGGGGTTGTGAATGACAGTCGCCATTTTGCTACAATGTAACAGAATATTGTGCCTCGGAGTTCTAAAAGGTTCGCTCAGGGGAAGCGGGCGCCCAATGGGGAGAGAGGATACCGGCCCGGCGACCAATCGGAGCGCGGGGGGCGGGGCCAGGGCTCGGGCTGGTTATTAGGGGAGCTGTCAAAGCCCAGAGGTCACTCCCTTTCTGTGCAAGTGTTCGGAGAGCAGGTCTTAAAGGGCCAGCGGCACGGGGAAAAGGGGAGAGAGCCACGCTCTGGACTTCTATATTTATCGTATCAGGAGCGAACCAAGAATATTTGGGAAAACACAAAGTTTAAAAACTTGGCATTCTAATAAAGTCATGTGCCTGCAGGGCTGCTGACCAAAAGATCGGCAGTTTTGAATCCGGGGAGCAAGGTGAGCTCCTGTCTGTCAGCTCCAGCTTCCCATTTATTTATTTATCATATCAGGAGTGAACCAAGGGTACAGTTGGGATGTATTTGAGAAAACATAAAGTTTAAAAACTTGGCATTCTATTAAACTTATGTGCCGTCTGGACTGCTGACCAAAAGAGTGGCAGTTTTGAATCCGAAAAGCAGGGTGAGCGCCCATCTGTCAGCTCCAGCTTCCCATTTATTTATCTATCATATCAGGAGCGAACCAAGGGTACAGTTGTGATGTATTTGAGAAAACAAAGTTTTAAAACTTGGCATTCTATTAAACTCATGTGCCGTCTGGACTGCTGCCCAAAAGATCGGCAGCTTTGATTCCGGGAGACCAAGGTGAGCTCCCATCTGTCAGCTCCAGCTTCCCATTTATTTTTTTATCTACTGTATCAGCAGTGAACCAAGGGTATAGTTCTGATGTATTTGAGAAAACACAAAGTTTAAAAACTTGGCCTTCTATTAAATGTCCTTTAACCAGTAGCTGGCCACTTGGAGTGCCTCTGGTGTTGCTGCAAGAAGGTCCTCCATTGTGCATGTGGCAGGGCTCAGGTTGCATTGTAATAGGTGGTCTGTGGTTTGCTCTTCTCCACACTACCATGTCTTAGACTCCACTTTGTGGGCCCATTTCTTAAGATTGGCTTTGCATCTCCTGGTGCGAGAGCCTCCCATGCTGGAACTAGGGAAGCCTCCCACAGGATGGTAACACACCTGGGCAACGTCCTTGCAGACGGCCAATTCTCTCACACTAGAAGTGCCTTGCAGTTTCTCAAGTCGTTCCTCACACACACATGCACGTGTGCACAAAGGATGAATGCAGTTTTGGACTTCAACTCCCACAATCCCCAACAGTCTGTTCAATGCCTTCCAAGTTGTCCATTCTTCTGTGTGCCCAGGAAGTAATCTCTCATTTGGTATCAGCCATGGATTGAGGTGCTGGGTTTTAGCCTGCCACTTTTGGACTCTCGCTTGCTGAGGTGTTCCAAGAATATCTCTGTAGATGGGCCACAATACATGTCAGTGGAGGAAGGGGGCCTTCAGAACTCTGGAGGAGTTTGGGACCACTTCCTCCTGCTCCTCTGTCATATAATGCAGTTTGAACTGTGTTATATAGTCAGTATGCAACCATTTACTGCCGTTGTGTGTGTGTCGGGACACCTGCAGGGATAACAAGGTGCCTGTTTGTAAAGCTATTGTCCTTCCAAACCTGCTATATGCCTGTGAAACGTGGACTGTCTACAGATGTCACACGCAACTCCTGGAACGATTCCATCAGCGCTGCCTCCGGAAAATCCTGCAAATCTCTTGCGAAGACAAGAAGACAAATGTCAGCGTGCTGGATGAAGCAAAGACCACCAGCACTGAAGCGATGGTCCTCCGCCATCAACTCCGCTGGACCGGCCACATTGTCCAGATGCCTGACCACCGTCTCCCAAAACAGTTGCTCTACTCTGAACTCAAGAACGTAAAACGGAATGTTGGTGGGCAGGAAAAGAGATTTAAAGATGGGCTCAAAGCCTTTGGCATATACACTGAGAACTGGGAAGTCCTGGCCGTTGAGTGCTCCAGTTGGAGGTCAGCTGTGACCAGCAGTGCTGTAGAATTTGAAGAGGCACGAATGGAAGGCGAAAGAGAGAAACGTGCCAATCAAGCCAATCCTGACTAAGACCTTTTTCCACCTGGAAATCAATGCCCTCACTTGAGGAGAAGACGCAGGTCAAGAATAGGGCTCCACAGTCACCTAAGGACCCACCGCCAGTACACTGATCCTGGAAGACTATCCTACTCGGAGTGAGTGAGAGTGTGTCAGGAGCGACTTGAGAAACTGCAAGTCGCTTCTGGTGTGAGAGAATTGGCCGTGGGCAAGGACGTTGCCCAGGGGGCGCCCAGATATTTTGATGGTTTATCATCCTTGTGGGAGGCTTCTCTCATGTCCCCGCATGGAGAGCTAGAGCTGACAGAGGGAGCTCATCCGCACTCTCCCTGGATTCGAACCTCCGACCTGTGGGTCTTCAGTCTTGCTGGCACAAGGGTACCAGTATTTACTGCAGTTCAAACTATGGCAGTGCAGATCCAGCCTAAACCATGCTCTTGCAGAGACCGCCTCCCGGCCATGTGGGTGCATTTCTGGCACTGCAAAGAAAGTCAAGAAAGTTCCGCCTTTCCCTCCTCCTCCGTTTCCCGCAGCTTTTCCCTTCCGACTACTTTCCGCTTCAGGTTTCTTGGCAGCGTTGCAACGGTCGTATCGACTCCGGCGCAGGACGGGCACCCTTTCCTTCCCTTCCCTTCCCCTTCCTCTCCCCCTCCGGTCAGGAATGCCTCTCCGCCTCGTTACATAACGCGAAGTGGCCCAACCGACCGCCTGCTTGCTTCACTCCCAAGGAACTTTTGGAAAAATGAAAGACGATGTCTTTTCCTCCTCCCCCAGGATCGTCTGCTTTGGCGTGTCGAGACCTGACCTCTGGCATCAGGGAGGGGGGAGGGAGGGGGGAGGAGGAGCTTTGCCAACTTTCTCATTAAGAGGGGGAATTGCACCGCCAAAGAAGCGCAGACACCGCTCTGGCAAAGCTCCTGGCAAAGGCAGCCCACTCCAAGACGTCTGAGTTTACCTGTCGCTAATTACAGGAGTCTGCAAAGGAATTACCCAGAGGGAGAAACAAAAGGATTGCTTTAATGTGCTTACAAGAAGGCTGGAGTCACTCTCCCTGGACACCAGGCAGGGGCAGGCTTTGGCCCTCCCTCCAAATGTTTTGGACTTCAACTCCCACCATTCCTAACAGCCTCAGGCCCCTTCCTTTTCCCCCTCAGCCGCTTAAGCGTGTAGATGCACGTGATCAGGACACATACCATTAACCTGCAGTGAAGGTAGGGCAGGATAAGCCCCAAGGGACACAATAGGACTTAGGTCTGAGTCAACTTGGACAGGTTACACTGCTCAACCAATTTGACTTAAGCGTAAACTTTGTGGAATTCAGGAAGGCTGCGTCAAGAGTAGGCACCTGCCACAGGGGCAAAGGACAACTTCCATGTATACCAAGTCAACCCATCAGTCCAGTTCTGGGCACCACTGTTCAAGAAGGATATTGACAAGCTGGAACCTGTCCAGAGAAGGGCAACCAAAGCCAAGCGCTATGTGAAAGTGGCTCAGAGAGCCAGATATGTTTAACCTGGAGAGGAGAAGGTTAAGACAGGCCACATCTAAGTGTTTGAAAGGAGTAGGGGGCAAGCTAAATGAGAAATCTGCACTGGTTTTTAGTAGGAGCTACTCAAGATCCTGGCCTCATCCCCAAACATAGGTTAGCTCAGGCATGGGGAAACTTGGGCCCTCTCTCTGGGTGTTTTGGACTTCAACTCCCTCAATTCCTATCAGCCTCAGGCCCTTTCCTTTCCCCCTTCAGCTGCTTAAGTCTGGCCACTGTGAGAGTCTGGATGAGGGCAAACAAATTGAAGTTGAATCCAGACAAGACAGAGGTCCTCCTGGTTACACCCCCTTTGAAGGTGCAGGTTCGCAGCTTGGGAATCCTCCTGAACTCATTGCTGAGCCTGGAACCTCAGGTTGTGGCGGTGGCTAGGGCGGCTTTTGTACAATTAAAACGTATGCACCAGTTGCACCCATGTCTTGGGAAGTCAGACTTGGCCACTGTGGTCCACGTTGTCATTACATCTAGGATAGAGTACTGCAACACTATGTGGAGTTGCCTTTGAAGACTGTTTGGAAGCTTCAAATAGTCCAACGAGAGGCAACCAAGTTGATAACCAGGGCTGCATACAGGGAGCACACAACTCTAATGTTATGTCAGCTCCACCTGTTTGCTACCGGGCACAATTCAAAGTGCTGGCTTTAGGCTATAAAGCCCTAAATAGCCCTGGCCCAGTTTACCTGTCCAATGCATCTCCCTTTACGAACCACCACGAAGACTAAGATCTTCTGGGGAGGCCCTGCTCTCTGTCCCACTACCGTCACAGATGTGTTTGGTGGAGACGAGAGAGAGGACCTTCTCAGTGATTGCCCCCCAGCTATGGAACATTAGGAAGAACTTTCTGACTGTGAGAGCCATTCAGCAGTGGAACTCTCTGCCCCAGAGTGTGGTGGAAACTCCTTCTTTGGAAGCTTTTAAACAGAGGCTGGATGGCCATCTGTCGGGGGTGCTTTGAATGCAGTTTTCCTGCTTCTTGGCAGGGGGTTGGACTGGATGGCCCATGAGGTCTCTTCCAGCTCTATGATTCTATGAACTCCTTTCCTGGTGAGATTAGATCAGCCCTCTCCATCTTGTCTGTCCTTCAGAAACAGATATAACTGATTTTTTTGTTTGTGTATATTTATAGTTATTTTATGTCCCCGCATGGAATGCTTACCTTCTATATGTTGTGCTCTGCCCCGAGACCCCTTCAGGGTGAGAAGGGTGGAATATAAATGTTTCAAATAAATAATAATACATTAAGTGGCTGAGGGAGAAAATGAAGAGGCCTGCGGCTGATAGGAATGGTGGGAGTTGAAGTCCAAAACACCCAAAGGGAGGGCTCAAGTTTCCCCATGCCTGTGTTAGCTCCTTCAAATTTCAAGCTAATTCACAAGCCCACTCATGTGGAAGGTGCTGCTGAAGGCTCTTTCCCAATTCCCTTGCAATGGAAAATGAACT